TTCGCCGACATCGTAGTCGGCATCGTCAGTGATTCCTGCCATTCTCTGCAAGCAAACTACAATTCATCAAATAGAAAAGTGAAGCCAATCCCTTGACCAGCTTTCTATCGAAACGGTTGTGCTATCACTCCTCGTTCTGTCCTGATTCCTCTGTCCTTTTCCTAACCTCTTTCCTCACCCTATTCCTATCACAACTTCTGACATTTTTATATTCCACAAGAGATGTGCCCTTTAGGAAAATTTATCGTGGCATCATCACACCTGCTCTTTGCCTTGCTCCCTTCCCTTTTTATTGGCTGATCCAACTCGAGCCTGCTGTCCGGATCTGCCTCATGGACCCGTAGCTCCATTTCTTAACTTTCTAGTTGACAGATTTCATTCGGTTCCAGAAGCAGTGCACCTTTTATTCCAGGCGCCATTTATCAAGGTTCCAGTAGCAGGTCCAATTCCGCCTCATATCCAGAGCATAGGCTCGTATTCCCATGCTTGTGGATATTAGGCGTTGTCCTCACGCATCATCTCCTAAATTAAACTCATTTACCCTGGGCAAACATTTATTTCTGGTTGCATTTGCATCTCAAGTGGATTTTGAGTCAATTTGGTCATGATGCCCAATTTATGTGACCCAATCCCTCTCCTTAATCACGTGAAACGTAGAGATGAAACTATGTCCTAGAATTTTGACACGCTATTAACTAACACACATAAAAAGAATCGCTAGGATACGAAGAACCCTAGAAAGGAATGAGCAATTAGTCCTTCAGTCGGACAAAGGAGCGACAGTTGTGATGGACAGGAAACAATATATCAAAAAAATGTAATGTATACTGCAAGATAAGACTACGTATCGTGTACTAAAGAAAGATGCAACTATAAATATAATTGGAATCTTACGGGACGTGTTGGCAAATATGCATATGAACGGGGAGATCAGTGAATGGGCAATAAATTAAATGATAAAAAAGGATTCACGACCACGAACAGCCTACAGACTACCGAAGTTACACAAAGAAGAAGAACAACTAAGACTGATAGTTAACAATAAGTATGGAGCAACACACAAATTACCAAAGTTCATATGTCTGAATTCAAGAAGATAAATGACGGATTAGCAAACACAGTGAAGCATTCATATGAATTTTTTCGGAGGATCAAAAACATGTCACTGGAAGAAACAGAATTATTAGTAAGTTTCGATGTACAATCTATGTACACAAACATTTCTGGATAAAAGGCGCTGACGGCCCTGTTACAAATTTCGGATCAAGAATAGGATATCCTAGAAGCAGAAAATATTAAAAGGCGGTCGTTAACACGATTAATCAACTTTACAATAAGTACTACCTACTTCATATCCAATGACAACATCTTTGAACAGACATTTGGACTTCCTATGCGATCACCTCTCTCACCTCAATTGGCAAATGTATATGTAGACAAATTATAAGAGAATTTTAAGATGTCACCGCTGCAACCAAGAGTTCTTATGGAGTACCTGGATGATTACTTTGCAATATGGTCGCATGGAAGAGAAATTTGGAGGATTTCCTGAAGTTTATGGACCGGATTGATAAAATAATCAAGTTCACAATAGATGTAGAGAAAGAAGGGTGTTTGGCTTTCCTAGATGTAGAGGTCATTCGCTATAGTGGGACCCTCAAGAGGAAATTGTTCCGAAAGAAGTCATATGCCGGAATAATGCTCAATTTCGAGTGTCATCACAGGTACAGAATGAAGATAGGAATACTGAGTAGCAGAATTATCAAAAGCCTATGATTAAAGGACGTGGAATTCTGAGATGAAGAATTGGAAAAATTGACCTGGATATTTCTGGTAATGGATACCCGAGAGCAGTAATACAGAGAAACATACTGGCCGTGAAGAGCCTATGGCAGGACGGAGATTATGAAAGAAAGATAAAGATAGAGAAAGACTTACAAATGTGGATATGTCTCCCTACCTGTGAACGACCTCAAAAACTATGGCTAATATTAAGAAAATGGAATATTCAGGTGACCACGAAGGAAAACAACAACACTCTTTACAAGTCTACTCACGCAACATGAGAGAGTAGACAAATAGGATTGCTCGGGAGTTTAGTGCATAGCATGCGGCGCCTGTGAATTGGCGAAACTGGGAGAAAAATCAGCATACGAATCAAATAACATCAAAGGCTCTGCAAGACAATGGATACTGAAAGATCAAATATAGCGAAACATATCGCAGAGACTGGGCACGAGATCATTTGGAAGGCAACAGAAAGAAGGACCTCATTCATTGGAAGCACAAAGAAGCGAAAGATTATGGAGGCTATTGACATCCTTGGAAAAAATGTAATGAACCGGATATTGGAAGAAGGCATAGTTAGTGATAACTTTGCCTATTGCCTCGGAGAAAACAGGGATGTTACAAGAGAAGGAAAAAGGATACACCTGGATCAGGGATATATAATAAACCAAAGGAAAAGGAAAGACAATTAAGAAGAGGGTGATGAAGTTTCGGAAATGAAGCGAAGACGTTTCCAGTGAGAATAGTCAGTTCGAATAAAAATTTACAAATTCGGGGATATGATGTTTCACGTGACTAAGGAGAATGATTGGGCCACATAAATGGGGTATTATGACTAAATTAACTAATAGTACACTTGCGATGCAACAGGCGTCCACAGATTGATGTCCACAGTTTGCTCAGTGTACATGGGCTTACTCGAGGGGATGATGTGTTAACGCAATGCCTAATATCCATAAGCATTGGAATCAGAGCTTAGGCGGGCTGCAGATGAGGCGATTTTGTACGTGCTACTGAAGGCTTGAGAAATAGCACCTGTAGTAAAAATGCACTAGAGCTTGAACCAAGTGAAATTGGTCAACCAGAAAGATAAGAAACGGACCAACGAGCCCATGAGACAGATTGGTTCAGCTACTCGAAAGGGAAAGGAGCAAGGCAAACAGCATGTATGATGACGCCACGGTTATTTCGCCAAAATTTTTACATCTCTTGGGGAATATAAACATGCCAGAAGTTGTGATAGGACGAAAGCGAGACAAGAGGGACTAGGTCAGACCTAGGAGTGATAGCACAACCGTTTGAACAGAAAGTTGGTTAAGGGATTGACGAGTTGTAGCTTGGTACTGAGAGTGGCAATACTCATTGACGATGCCGGCGAAACTCTGGAAATTATCATGCATATTATGGACTCCGAAAAAAGTGCGTTCCTCTTGGTCTTCCTGCCAATATGACCAAGTTGTGAAAACGAGGTCAAACAACTTCTGGCGTTTGATTTCTTCACTTACGACATTCTATCTTCTGTAATTATGTTATATATTTCATTTTTGTAGTACATTCAAATTTTAGATTTTATCGTCTAATACATTTTTGCGTTCCAAATATTTTTAAGAACTTAATGACTTACTTATATTATTATAGTCTCGCTTCAATTTTAGCCCTCTACGCTCCGCATTGATAGAAATTAGCTAGATAAATGGATTTATCGAACAATTAGAATTCGCTGTTTGAGGCAATTCACTAGTTAAGATGATCAGCAAGACAACTGTAGGCAAGATTAACCGCTAGTGAACTTGTATTTTTTTTCTTGCATATTGGGGCAACTATTTATATCTCTGTAATATATTTTTTATTTGAATGATTTTTCCTGCTCTTTTATTGGATCTAGCGCCATTCTGTAAATTTACATACAGTACGTACTAGTATTAATTTATAACATTCTTTTTCTTTAAATTCTAATCCGATCTCTATCTGTTTCTTGAAAAACTGAAAGATGGAGATGAATTTAAATGTCTTATTTAGGTGCACCGAATAGCAATTCTTATTTTCTAAATTTTCCTCAGCTCGTTATTTATGGTTCTATTAGTTACTCTGAGATACATCCGAGAAATTGTGTTCAATCGGGCAGATTTAAATCTCTTAATTATTAAATTGCTTATGATGTTTCACGTAAATTTGTTTTTAGGACTGTGGTTGCATTATATTATATTATATTTCCATCTTATCTATTGTTGCCTTCCCCTTAACAGCGTAAAAAGGAGGTCGTTATAGAACCAGCTACTGATCAGCGTTCTGCGGCTGCTGCCAACGAGAAGCAGAACGGTATTGTGTCAGCTTCACTTGCCGCTGCTGTTGCTTCTGCTACTTATCCTTCTGGTGGACAGCATCGTGGCCAGGGTAACAACCATAACCACCAGCTAGGCGGTTCTGGGGCCAATACCTCTAACAACTGCCACCCGCCGGGTTCCGGCCGCCCTGAAACGACTGGTCAAACACGTGCTGGACAAACTGCCCAAAACACTCTGAGTGGTAACAACAATAACAGTCATCATCAACAGCCTCCAAGTCACCAGTCTAACCATATTCTCTCTCAGTCCTCTCCTGCTGGGCACCATTGCCTTCCTTTAGCCAATCCTGCTCAGGGAGCTGGTTCGCAGAGGCATCAGCAGTCACAACAGGTGGCAGCAAATGCGCCTCGGACTCCAGCTCAATTGAGCTCACTGTCTCAGCGACAGTCGGCTTTCGCCTCTGCGCAACAGCACTCGACGGCTACAGGCCACCAACAGCACAACCACAACCAGCAGCATCAACAGCTTAACTCGCCGGCTTCTGGAACAGGCGTTCTTTCACCCGGCAACAGCACACCGACAGGATCCAAACGCTTACCAGCCGGAGGGCACCTGGGTCCTGCTGGTATTCGTGTAAGTGCACTTTAATTTCCATCACTCTGTAATCATAACGTCCTGCATTATTTTTTAGCCTTGGATTCTGCTATCCTATATTTTATGGCTACTTTTGTGTTCTAATTATTCATTGGAATACTTAATACATATATATATATATAAATAAATTATAATGGCGCGATCATGAACCACTAAACCTGTTACTATATTATTTCCATTTAATTTACAATTTTGGCTTCCTTTTGTCTGCAATGTAGACTAACTGGCACTTTGAGTTATTGGGGTTTTTTGTGCCCTATAAGCTACTTTTTAAAAAATATATTGCAGTCCGTTTCATTTGATTCTAGTCCATAATCTGGTTACCTTCACTAGTTATATGTCTTGTGCACATATGCGGCAAATTGACGACTGGCTGTTAAAGATACCTGCCTGTTTGCGTATTTAGCCACAAATCTATAATAACGGATTTTTCGGGGCTGCATTACCTTAGGTCGTTTAAAATGTCCAAAAGCCTGATGGTTTAGTTGAGTTTCATACAATGAAATGAGATGAAGGCTTCATGATGCCATTGAATTTAATTTAGAGTTGCATCATCGAATGCTTTGTTATCTAGAGAGGACTGTAGTTTATTCCAAAATGAGTAGGTTTTCGAGACAACTCATATGACTGTAGTTTGTACCTCTTTTGGATTTTACTCGGTTTTAAACCGCCAAGTCAAAAATCTGTCGCTCACTGTGCTCGGGTGCAAGTGGTTCACAGGGCAGATGTGAATTTCTAGGCAACCAGGCCTCTTTCATTTTAGTTGGTTTATTGACCATAAGGAAAACTTGTATTCGTCATTAGTCTCGACAACATTTATACATAGATACTGTGCAGTTTTCGAAACTAATGGTATATCTTTTTATAGGTGTCTATAGATTTGAAACTCGCTTACCATGCAGTTATCACTGAGTTATACGCATGAATTCGGATTCAGAGTTTTTTTAATTGCCTTCGAATGCCCTTTCCTCCTTTTGCTCCTCCTAATTCGAGGTTCCAAAAATGATGTAATTCTTACTAGTTTACTTAAACTCCACTGGCCATATAAAGAAAACTTCGAATTAATATCAGCCCTGCTAGAATATTTATATTACTTATAGAACCATACGATGATTTATCTAAATTTGTCCAAGCAATTATTTTGCCTTTTCATTCTCATCATTCTTCTGTTTCAAAGCCCATAGAATTGGACAAATACATACAATATTATTCGATTTTTTTATCTCAAGGATTATTAAGTTAGTAAAGGAATATCGGTCATATTTTTATTACTCAATCTATTTTCATTTTATTTGCAGTTCTATCTTACCATAGTTACATGTCTGCTTGGTTCCTATTATCTATGCTAATTCTTAATTATCTTTTTATGTACCCTGAAAGATTTCCAATTGTTTTTAAAGGGATTCTTCGCGTCATTATGCTCACTCGTGATCCCTTGTTCAGGCTTTTTTTTCTTCACTTGGTTTTTATTTTGATTATGTTCTATTTTATACCTTAGGCCGTTTGTCAATTGCTTTGAAGTGCACGCGGCAATTCACTTGAATTATTTATCTATCTCGACACATTGTTAGACATACTTTACGCAATTTAATAGACATAACACAGTATTTAATTTTTACATTCCACTTGTAGACATGTTCTATTCTGTGTATATTTATTAAATTTGGCCAGACTGTTATAAGCTTGCTGTAATAAAATTCAATTGGCATTTGTCCACAATTGTATAATTTTTCCTTAATTCAACCTGGCGAAAGTGAATGAATGCCTACCTACATCTCTTTATTAGCTGATTTTTGCTTATGATGTTATACTCATTGCTTCCAAAGTAACAGGGGTAAGGATAACTTTGATCAAGAAGGTAAAATATAGTTTATGAATAAAAGCTAGTTTTTATAATATCTTTATATTTAATGCTACTTGAAGTTTTATTTGATTCGTTGTGAAGGCCTCGTGAATTGCATTACCATAAATCAAGGAGGGATTTCCTTGTAGCAGAGACTATAGAATCTTGTGAAGAAGTCATCGGCTCACTGTCATGCAACCCCGATGATTCATGCTAGACTTTAGTTTTCTTTTGTGACAAACATCTTAAGCACTAGATACTATCATTCACTTAAAATGAATCAATATACTTAATCAGGAAAATATGGCCGACTCTATATCTAATTTTCCGAACTCGTTGAGTTACTCCATGATTTAGTTGCCTAATTCATGCTTACCCTGCATGCCCTCAGATAAGCGAAAATGATGCATATAGAGAATGCAAATATAGTCATAGCTTATTAATCGTATTTGAGTAGTCATAGCTGTTTCATTACGTAAGTAAACCATTGTTTTAACGCACGCTTTTGCCGTGAGCTTAAGTGTATGGATAAATGTTTAATGTGTGATTGGAATCTTTTTTATGAGGTAGGAAAGCCCTAACCGGATTAGAGGTTAGTCATACCTCCTCTTGGTTATTCCTATTCTTTCTCTATAAGCTTATCCAATGGCCACAAATATACTCCAACCAAATTTCTATACTCGCTCTTCCCATTCGGGATGTTGGTTGCACTGTTTACTTATGGTTAGGGTTTTTATAAATCATTAGTATGAGATTGCATACACGCAACACATATTTAACCACATACCTAAGCACGTGTCACTTTTGTTAGATCAAACTAGTCTATTTTGACAAGGAAACTACTTTTCCTTCGAAAGCCAAGCCTTCACTTTTTGGGATCAACATACCATAAAAAGGAACATGGTGTAGATTTGAGTCTCCTTGCTAGCTTAATATTATCTTTGGGCCTCATATCCACGAAGCCAAAATAAATTTAAAGCTTCTATAATCTTTTTTCAATAAGTCTCTTTACGCAACCTTGAATTCGGGTCTTGAGGACCACTTTTTTGCCCTTTGCTGTTTGGATTCCAGCGAAACGTCTCGGGATGTATCAAGTCAACGAATAGATGGTGAAAATAATCTTTATTAC